TGTTCATGGGTTGGTCACTGTTTCTGGTATTTCAGAGATATAGCTGGCTGCTTAGCAGGTGCATCCATATGGCCACATGTGCACAGGCCATGTGGAGAATTACATTTTGGCATAGTTTGTGAAAGGGAAGAGGAGTGGGACATTGTCTTCCCACCTCCTATTACACTGATCACAGTTCACCCTACAAGGAGATAACTTCTGCATTGTTTCATGCAGCTTCCTTGGCAGTTGATCTGGGAGCCAGATACAATCTTCACAGTGCAGAAGTGCAGAAGTGGCTTTAGAAGTGGCTTTAGAAGTGCAGAAGTGACTTTGGAAGTCAGAAACTCAAAGTATATGGCAGCTAGACCTGAATGCACCTTGGCAGAAAAGGGGAGTGCCTAGCTCTTTTGGGATAGTGAAAGATCAGCCAGCCCTAGGTGGGAGACCCATGAGGACCCAAGCATGGGTTTGGGATGAAGAGCAGCCCTTTGGGGAGGCACAGCCATAGAAGCAGCTGAGGCAAAGCGAACAGCTGAGGAGTCAGGAGACCATGGCTCCTGGAGAGCCTAGGGAGCTATATAAGCTGTGTCAGGTAAGTTTTCAAACCACAGATACCAACCCTCAATAAAAAACAGATGTCAGGGGAGCTGCTCTGTGAACCAAAGAGGATAGTCTACACCCCTTTTTCCCACACTGCCACCCATAGTGGCCTCTGAGGCACACACCCTACTGCTCTTTGCAATACAGTCTGAAATTAGATGAGATGAGATGAGATGAGATGCCTTCTTACACCAACATTCAGAAGTTTTTTTAGCAATACATCTGAGGAATAATATTTCACTGCCTATAAGATAATTTTATTTTCTTAGCTTTTTGATTTGTGGAATTGCAAAGAAAGGAAGATGCAGCAAATGTAAACATAGAGCTACAACAAATTGTGGAATTTGAGGGTTTGAGAATTTAAAGTTCATCTGCACATGAGAAAACTGAAATTCAAGAGGATAAGTTATCTTGAAAGAGGTCACATGACTAATTAATGTAAGACTGAGGTCTAGAACCAAGGGAATCTGACTCCCAAACCCGAGATCTTTTCTCTGTGTATGTATCTGTGAACATATGTTTGGAGTTCATAAATTTGTTTTGATGCTTTTTAGATTTTGCGTTTTTATCTTGATAACATTATAAAACTATTACTGTATGCCTATCCTGAACCATCTGGATGGCCACTTATTACTTCTATATTCAAACAGTAGTGAAACCTCCCTTTGTTCAGGACATAACAGTACCAGTGAGCCAAATACAGAAGAATCTACCCCATAGCAATTAGTACTGTGTTCACATTGCACTAGACTATGTTGTAAGAGTTCCATCCTTTCCTTAAACATATTTGTTCAAAAGTTATGTGGGAGTAGCAAATGCTTTTTCCCCACCCAATTCCAGCAACAATTTGATTTGATACCCATCAGTGAAGCTTTAAGTTTATCCTCAAGCTAACAAGAAAACTTTGCTTAGTTCTAGGTGATACTTCATTTAAAATAGCATCTTACTCTCAAGTAGACTATTTAGATAAATAAGAGATCCGAATAACCTTAACTAGCACAAAGAACCTTAAAGTCATTAAATACTCTCTTGTCTGATATATTTATGAAAACGGACATTCTCTACATTGGAATTATTAAAGTCAAAATTCTGAAACACTGAATATAGCACAGGACCTGAGATCAACTATTTCTATGAGTACACCCAATACTGAAATTTTAGTTGTTACAGAAAAGCATAATATTCCCTATAAATTTATATTGTTAATTTAAATTTATTAGTTTCATAGTTTCAAAATTCAATTTATAATTTTTCTTAATCATCATATAAGAACAATAACTTATAGCCTTCTTCTCTGGTTTATATATATTTTTAAAGCATAAAAATAACATATTTTCATACTTGGAAACTGAGATAATTCTTTCTGTTAAAAATAAGTCCAGGCACAAAGAGGGAACAACAGACACTGGGGTCTCCTTGAGGGCAGAGTTTGGGAGGAGGGAGAAGATCAGAAAAAGTAACTATTGAGTACTAGGCTTAGTACCTGGGTGACAAAATAATCTATACAACAAGACCCTGTGACAGGAGAGTTTACCTATATTACAAACCTGTACATGTGCCCACCAAAACCTAAAATAAAAGTTTGAGGGAAAAAAGTCAGCTGGGTGTGGTGGCTCATGCCTGTAATCCCAGCACTTTGGGAGGCCAAGGTGGGTGGATCATTTGAGGTCAGGAGTTTGACACTAACCTGGTCAACATGGTGAAACCCTAGCTCTACTAAAAATACAAAAAAAAAAAAAAAAAAAAAAAAAAGTCAGGTAAGCGTGGCGATGGGCACCTGTAATCCCAGTTATTTGGGAGGCTGAGACACGAGAATCGCTTGAACCCAGGAGGCGGAGGTTGCAGTATAAGACTCTGTCTCAAAAAGTCCAGGACTGGGTGTGGTGGCTCGTTCAGCACTTTAGAATGCTGAACCGGGTGGATTGCTTGAGCCCAGGAGTTCAAGAGCAGCCTGGGCAACATGACAAAACTCCATCTCTACAAAAAATACAAAAAAAAAATCAGCCAGGCCTGGTGGCACGTACCTGTAGTCCCAGCCACCTGGAGGCTGAGATGGGAAGAATCACCCGAGCTCGGGAGGTCAATGCTGCAGTGGGCCATGATCATGATCGCACCACTGCACTCCAACCTAGGCAACAGAGTAAGACCTGGTCTCGAAAAAATTAAAATAAAAATTAAAAAGCCCAGATATTACCCAGTTTGAGAAGCACTGCTAACAGTGCTTCTTCCTGGGATGCATGATTACTTAGAGTGGTGGAGAAAAGCCTAGATCTTGGATTCCAGAGTCCTAGGTTCAAGTGGACTCCGCTAATAACTAACCATATGTCTCACCTCCTTCACGTACCCTCCCTGGCCCTCAGTTTTCTCAATGGTAAATTAAGGAGATGGCAAGAATCATGAATCCTTCTGCCTACTGGAGCAAGGTAGAATAATTAAGTGAAATAGGCCAGTATGGGGAACAGTAACTAATTCAGAGGACATTTACCTTGTATTTAAAAATATTTATATTTGAAACTTTTTTAGCACAAGCAAAACAACAAATCTATGGATCAGATTCCATCTGAAAACTGCCAGTTTGCAAAGCCTAACATATAATCTTGAGAGCAGCTTCCCCACCCGTAAAGCATTAAATGCAATGACTAATATAAATTAAGAGAAACCAACATCTATATGATCAGTACAAAGTGGTGGTGGGCATAGAAGAAAATCCTTCAGAAGACATCAATGTGTTTTAGTGTTTTAAGAGTGCCGCAGCTTCATATAAAAAAGGAAGGCACCGGGAAATGCATGATCAGTGAGTGGAAAAAAAAGAAACAACAAAGTAAGCGAAAGACTTTTTTTGGTTCCAACTGTATCCAACCAAAAATATTGCCTGAATTATAGTCTCTCGTCAATTCTCTAGTATTATACTCTCTATCCAAGTCAGAGTTACAAACTGTGGGCCCAGCAGTGTGTCAGGTGCTGGAAAGACCTCTAAAGGTAATACCTTTTTTTTTTTTTTATTAGAGAATGTGTTTGAATGGTTGTTTTCCACTGTAAAAATTTTTAACCTCAATTTGTTCCAGGTGTTATTGATAAGAACTCAATTCCAATTAAAATTAAAATATGAGATAAGGGATGTGATATGTTTTTTCACCCTTCAGAGTTTGAGGAGACAGCACAAGAGTGCCTTGGAATGGGTATTGTGATAGCAGAAACAGTGCAGTTATTTGACATATATTCTAACTTCAGGAAGATGTTTCCAGACTTGTACCGACTCTAATCTCTCAATTTCTCAATAGTTAGCATTTAGTACACACAGACTTTCTGCCACTGACCAGGGCATTGCTTATTGTTTTCCTTTCTTACATCAATATTCTTCTTCCTCCCATTTGTATCTAGTCCCAGACATCCCTCATATTAACCAATAGGCAAAAATAAAAGGCCTATTGAAATATTGGACTTCGGTTCAATATCTGCGATCACTCTTGCTAAAGAGATGTTTGAACTCAACTATAAGCTTTGAAACACTGTCCATAGGAGTTTAGTTTAAAAGCAGAACCATAAATACCAAATAGAGTGAGGAATAAGAAACAGCAAGAGTTTAATCTGTCTCTGACCACCCAGTTTATGGTAGGTTACCACATTTATTCTTATAATTGGCTATTTCCTGTTTTAAATGCCTTTTACTCGTGCCTGCCACCTTTCTCAGTTTATTAGCCTTGTGGTCACCACATTACCTTTCTCTTCAAAATCAATTGACATTTTTATGAAAAGCGTTTTCAAGGTATTAGCTCTGAGAGAGTGGCATACAGAGCATGCACTGCCACCTTAGAAAGTCCCTCTTAGCACAACTCAGGTGCATAACACTCGAGCTATTATGTTTTAAGGAGATTTATGTGTTTTTATTTAGATTTATACAGTGTACTGTGAATATATTGGCATGATTTTAAAAAATGTAAAACGTATGGCATCACAATGGTACATATTCTATTCACCGCTTAATAACATTTATGAATGAGGGGGAAACATCCATTTTTTAAAAGTAACACAAAAATTCAGAATTTTGGTAGTTGGTCTCTCTAGATAGCTCACATCATTTTTCTATAAGCAAAGCCCCAGTGACCTAATTCCTTAGGCCACCTAGAGATAGGAAGTCCTTACCACTTTATGAATACCGTGACAGTGAGTAACAGTAGAATTTCAGATTAGCATAGTTTTTGTATCTTACAGGAAATAAACAATTACAGACCCTATGATAATCAGGGTCTGAATTTTGTTAAGAAAGTCAGCTGACTTGAAAGGTGTTTTCTTCCAGTGGTCCAAATAATATTTCTATTGATTTATTTTTCATAGAGTTCTGAACAGCTGTTTGATATGGCAAAAAAAAACCAAAAAACAAAAAATGCCACTCGCTGATTCAAAACCTTTGTCTCTAGGTGCCAGGTCGACCTGTCAGCCCTCAGTAGGGAACAGACGCACAAGCTGGAGTTGCAGCTGGAAGAGGGTGAGGGACACCTGGTGCTGCTGGTCACTCTGACCGCATCAGCCACAGTCAGCATCTCTGACCTCTCCGTCAACTCCCTGGAGGACCGGAAGGAACGAGAGGAGATATTAAAGAGATATGTACGTATGTAACCCTCCTCCTTCTAGAGTCACATGTGACTAGAAGAGGTTGTAAACAATTTACCAGGAGGGACAGAAGTACTTCTGAGAAGCTGTCTGATGGAAGAATTGGCACAAGTAAAAAGCAGAGTGAAAATAAATGCCACCCAGACCTTTGCAGAAGCACTTGCATTACCCACCCATGTCTAGAGACTTGATCTTCTCTAGAATCTCTTCCAGAGCAAATTCTGGATTCTGAGATTTTACTCAATGATTTTATCATGCAGGGATGCTGCCCATAAAGGAAGGCCAGGTTTACATAACATGACTTTAAAATTAATTTATTGATTCTTTGTAGCTGCAATTAAAATTTCTTTGTCTTTCCAAGTTTGACATGGAGTTAATGGTACTTACGGTAATTAGTACCTTGGTAACTAAAGAGTATTCACAGGAGTGATTTTTATTTTCAGCTGCTCAGGAAAGCCTCACTTCATTCCTTTATTTTTTTTAATTGAATGTGAAATCGAATTAAAGGAAGGCTCCTTCTTTTTGATCGAATGTGGAATGATAGTATGGAATAGTGAATCACTAAAATGACTACCCTACTCAAATTTTACCAAACTGAAATATTCACAACCAAATCTTACTATTTCCCAGCATCCTCCCACTGGACATTTCCCACCATGTAGTTTTCTTGAATCAACAGAGAGGGGAGCTCTTACTCCACCATTCTCTCTCAATGGAGGTTTGAAAAAGTAAATGCCTTAGTACCCATGAAGCTGGGAAAAAAGCTTTTCCACTTAAAATGACAAAGCTTGTATTGTACAGTGCCGCCAGGTGTTTAGAAGGCTCCTCTAGACACTCAGCCATGAAACCAAGCTCCGACTAACAAAGAACCACTTTTTTTTGGACTTTAAAATATTCCTATTTGCTGACTGACATCCTTTCAATAACTGAATTTAATAAAGATGTACCTTATCAGGCTGTGCAGATAACATGAAGTGCTGGTACTAATGCTCTACAATATTCTTCAAACAGATTAGCAGGATGTGCGCTTCAGCAAATTTATTCTGGCTATCTCCACTGAATCAGCTGTCTGCTAATGCTTGTACAACTCATCCACCAATGGTGTTATCATAAACAGTTTAATAGAGGTGACTTAGCAAGGCTAAATAGTATATATTTTTAAACTACCTAAGAGCCTAAGATATTGTGTGACATCTTCTAATATATAATTGCAATTATGAAGATTATTTTACATTGTGGTATCCACCAAAACATATTCTTCTGTTACCAGAAGTGAGCCTCATGAATTACAACAATTTTAATGGAGTTAATCAGTATATTAATATAAAAATTCTTCTAGGCATTATAATACTATAGTTGATGGATTAATATTTTGATATTATCCCATATATTAAGGGATATTGCTGCCTAGGTAATTAGAAGTAATCCACCTATTATTAATTTTTTTTTCTTTTTACTGGATGACTGAATGGCAACTGACCATTTCCATTCAGAATTTGAGTATTTGTTTCCATGTCTTTTTTCAATAAAATGTAAAATATTATGCAGATGTTTGACTTAATTCTCACATTGTATTCTGCTCAATATATTAAAAAACGAACCATGTTTAAACATACTTTTTTTTCAGCCTTGAATTTCAGGCAGAGGCCTATACCTCCCTCTAGAGACATACCTGCTACTAAGCCACTATGTGCAACATAGCACATCTGTTATATTTACTCATAGCCATGAAAGGATAAAGACCTATGGATTAGGCTTCAGTGTGTTTCCTTTTTATTACAAGGATCATGAAATGAATGAATGAATGGCATATCACATCTGAAATATCATTCGTTTTGGAGAAACATATAATGGAGGTTGTTTGGAGAATTATTTCTATATTTTCCTGCAAGAACATGTGTATTTTTAAAAGTTGAGGTCAAACTTAGGAGCTTGACACTGGTCACTGTCAGGGGAGCAGATGAATTGCCACCACTCTGATATGAAGCAGCCCTAAACAAAGCCCTCCATTGCTGCTGTTTAGCTGTTCATTGCTGAGGATTGAAGCCCCACAAAGTAAACAAACATCACTCTGTGAGCCATTTTTTGATCACCACATTCTGAGAAGATGGCTAATTCCATTTTTTTTTTTTTTCCTCTTTTAGGGGGAGGAAATGAGGGAAGGTCAATAGGGGGCGGGTAGTAATGGGTAGTAGACCAAGAGCAATTGTATGACCTTTTCAGAACGGGTATGCTGAACCCTTGCTCCCCTTTGTCACAGTTTAAAAACCAGAGGAGCTAGTTTAGAGAAGAAGTTGTTAGCATTCCATTTTTATTATGACATTTCACAGTCATCTGATTTAATGTCCCTTGACCGGATTGTCCACCGTGAGACGATGGGCTTGAAATGTTATTTAGAGCATTGATAAAAGGTGAGCGGTTCTAAGATGACAGCGAGTCATAAGGCTGGTGGTGTGACATTAATTTTCTCCATAACAGAGATGGAATAAGACGTCACGGTGACAAGCTGTCAATCAGCTCTGGCCCCTCAGAGCATCTCGATGCCATAGGATGGGGTATTGCCTCTCCCGTAATAGAGCTGAACTGAGATGCTCTCCCTGACAGCTGCTGCAGTCATAGAGAAAATATATTATACAGCCTTTCATTAAAAAAATAAAGAGGACTCCTCTCCAGAGCATTTCAATCTTTTCCCATCTATTGAGGGCTGAAAGGATTCACAGCAAATCATAGATTCCTCTGCTATGGAAATTTCTGGCTTCAGAAGCCATCCGGGTTTTTAGGCCTTCTAAAATAGCCATAAATAGCAAGGCAGGAATACCTCTTGATGAAGTTACATTTTTAAACCAATGTATTTATTTATTACTTCTTATTATAATCGATGTGTCACTGGCCTTAACCGTTGAAATTTGCAATATATTATGGAGTGTCAGCTGACTTGGGGAAATGAAACCTTCAAACAATAATTACTACTCCAAATGGGAAGCAGAGGATCAGAGCCAAAGCACCTGAAGACAATATGTCTGTGGAATGAGGCTACCAATGTGAAATGATTCTCAGACATAAGGACTGATTATATTTGTTTTAGTCAAAATAGAACTTGATTTAAATTGCCTCTGAAAATTAAAGTATAGAAACCTTTTTTTTTGATAAAACTGTTCCCCATCATTAGGGTCAGAGACTTATCTGATTTACAACATTGTGTAAGCTCTGAGATAAGAAACTTTCCAAACTTGCTGTTACTGTAGGAACACAACATGCCTACAAACCTCTGAATTATACCCTGCTGTCTAATGCCCCCACGGTGAAACCCTTCAGTTACAGGAATTTAAATGGAGAGAGAAGTGCATTTTTACTGAACCTTGTCACCTGGGTATTTTAAATATATTTTTGGTGATAAATAACGGTTTAAAAACAATAAAAGATTAACAATTAATCCTCATGCTAAACACTCTTATAAAAAGTTAGGCTGTGAGATTACTCATATATCCACATTTCCTCCTCTCAGTATACCAAGGTCATAGTTTCAGTGTAAACAATGACTGGTCATACGGGACTGATAAAGTTCCTATCACAGTAAGCTTTTGCTTGTCAGTATTCTCACATTATTAATATGGTGATGGGAGTGCTTTTTACTCTAGTAACATTTTAATAGCTAACTTTATTACGCAAAAGTATGTTATGTTCTCTGATTATAAAACATTTTATAGATTATGAAAAAGAAGTACCTTTGATTTACTGAGTAGAAGTGCTGATCGCGTTGTAAGAAAAATGCTACAAAGTATAAATAAACAAATGCACATTAGCATTCTGTTGGTTCATTTTACTCTCAAAGTATTTGTGCCCATTAATTAGACTTCTGAATTATTGTATTGGTTTCCCTCTTTTAATTCCTTCAAGTGCTACACTTATAAAACACCACCGTTATTAATTTATGAAGTGAAATAGATTTTATCATTTAGATCCATTTTTTCTATTGAAGTTTCCATACTTCTGTACATACTAAAATAGCAAATAAAACTATAAATTTAAGAAAATTTTTTATTGTTAGTCATCAATTTATTTTTGAATTTATTTTTAGTCATCACTTTGATTGACTGTAGAAGATTGTGTCTGTCTTTCACTTATGTAGAACTACAGTAGTCTTTTGAAATAAATACTCGAAAATAGTCTTTAGGTAATTTAATCCTCATCTAGCCCATGCAATTTCCAAAACTCACCAAGAGGAAAATAGTAGAAAAAAATAATTAACTTAATGTTGACCTTCTTACCCCTAAAGACTGAAGAGTGTTACATATCCAACAACGTGAGATTTAATATTGATAATTAGCCTGAGAGTGGTGGTTCATGCCTGTAATCCCAACACTTTGGGAGTCAAGGCTGGAGGATCACTTGAGGCCAGGAATCGGAGACTATCCTGGGTAACATAGCAAGACTTTTTCTATAGAATTTAAAATGTTTTTAAAAACAAATTAACCAAGTATGGTTGCACCAAAAATAAGCAAATATGCTAGTGGTTCCAGCCACTCAGGAGGCTGAAGTGGAAGGAATGCTTGAGCCCAGAATTTGGAAGTTACAGTGAGCTATTATCACGCTACTGCACTCCAACCTGAGTTAGACCCTGTCTCTAAAAAAATAAAAATAAAAAAATTTAAAAAACCCCACTAATCTCCAAACCATTATATCTACAGATGAAAATATTTCTTGGAGTGGTTTGCTTGCTAGAGGAGATTGAAAAAAGGAAACAGACATATCTATTCCATAATTTATTGTTCACCATTTATTGATAATTATTTATGGGAGTAAATGTGTTTTTTTTTTTATTCTTTCAGAAAATCTAGTTATATAGTAACAATTATCCACATTGGGGTGTGTGTGTGTGTGTGTGTGTGTGTGTGTGTGTGGTGTAGATTCATGATGGTGGAAGGGTAATTTATACTGAAGAAACACAAATGACACCTTGAACCCCTTATGCAGCATCAAAGTTTCCATTCTATACATACTAAAATGGCAAATAAAACTATAAATTTAAGAAAAATTACTCACTATTTTGAATTTATTTTATTTTTTTGAGTTGGAGTTTTGCCCTGTCGTCCAGGCTGGAGTGCAATGGCATGATCTTGGCTCACTGCAACCTCTGCCTCCTGGGTTCAAGCAGTTCTCTGCCTCAGCCTCCCGAGTAGCTGGGATTACAGGTGCCCTCCACCATGCCTGGCTAATTTTTTTTTTAATATTTTTAGTAGAGATGGGGTTTTACTATCTTGGCCAAGCTGGTCTTGAACTCCTGACTTTGTGATCCATCAGCCTCAGCTTCCCAAAGTGCTGGAATTACAGGCGTGAGCCACCGCTCCCAGCCTGAATTTATTTTTAGTCATCAACTTGATTTATGTTAAAAGATTATGTATGTATTTTACTTATGTAGAACTACTTAAGTTCTTATGTAGAATTGCATAAGTCTTTTGAAATAAATACTAGAAAACAGTCTTTAGGTAATTTAATCCTCAGCTAGTGCATGCAATTTCCAAAACTCACCAAGAGGAAAATAGTAAAAAAATAATAATTAATGTTTAATGTTGATCTTCTTACCCCCAAAGTCTGAAGATAAACTAAAAAATGTAATGTTTTCTCAGCACACTCTTTAAGACTCCTTGGGACCTCCCTTTTCTAATACTGATGTTGGGGTCTTTCAGAGCCCATTGAGGATATTTCACAACCTGAAAGATGTGGGATTTCTCCAGGTGAAAGTCATCAGAGCGGAAGGGTTAATGGCTGCTGACGTCACTGGTAAGAGATGATGCAATTCTCCTATTGCTCAGATCAAGCAGCACACGAAGTCTACACCATTTAATAATTCAACTTTGCATTTCACCTGATGGATCATCAAAGTAAATAATTTAACGATTCAGGGTTGATCTTAGAAATATTTGCCAACCCCCTTATTTTTATAGTAACTCTGCTTTTTAAAGGCGGGGTAACGTATTAAAAATAAACACTAAAAAGCAAAATGATTTTTGAATTGTTGCCTTCTTCAAAGTTTAATCGATGTAGTAGAAATACTTCTTCCAGGTATTGTTATTTCCAGGTATTGAACCAATGCTATACAGAATCAGCTTCCCTCATAGCATCAACACTTATAATTCAAACATGCATGAAATCTGTTGGATATTTCACTGAAAAGTTTAGATGCATAATACTCAATCATTTGGTATGAACTCTTGATATTTGGGTTGCTGATCCAACTCATTAGTCGTCCAAATTCCCTGGCACATCCCAGAGATAATTTTGGATCTAAACTAAGCCTCTAGATTGTTTGAAATTTCTTAAAGTAGGAAACAAGGCTATACAAATGTCCACATTAGTTTTGTCTCTTAAAGCTTCCTGATTTGCATAATGCTATTTCTGTAACATATTAACAAGCGGGCTGATGGCAATTATTTCATCAATTTCCAGAATTAAATCATTATTTTGAATTTATAACAATGTGACCATTCATTTATGATTTAATTTCATAAGGATTTGGGGGATGTTTATACTGTTCCTTAAATTATCCATCTTGAGTTAGACAATAAATAGGACTGGCTTGACCAATTTGTGCAAATTTCACTGTTTCTGAAGAAAATATCAATTTATCATTCTGGAAATATGCTTACCATTGTGAACATTCAGCCACATCATCCTAATGAGGTAACAAACTTATTTCACGGGAAGAAATGTACTTTTTCTACCATCCAAGGATCTGAAATCACTGTGCACTTCTTTAATTCATTCAACAGAATCAAAAACAAATAAAAGATAACATGTCTTCAAATGAAAATAGCAGATGTTTGTTCCAAAATTGCAATATTTTTATATTTTAATATTTGCCTATTAAGTGATCATGTGTGAGAAAATTTAAAATATTAGTTTACAGTTCCTTTAAAAAGGTAATTATCAACTCATTTGTAATCAAGAAGATGATAACAGTTGTCACATATTTTTTCAAAACAGGCATACCTGAAAATGGGAGAGTAGGTTGTTTGTAATATTTGCATATATGCTAATTTGGCTCCTTGTACAAAACAATTAATGTAAAATGTATACATTTTCCTATATATGAAATTTCTTTCTAGTATGATTATAATCAAATTAATCTGGCACAATTATTTCTTTTAGAAAAATGCATGTACCATTTACTTCAAAAGCTTACATACCTGTCCATTATACAATTGGATAGAATTGTATAAGTTTGTCTTCTCTTGGAGAGAAGCTGTCATTGATTTTCAAACTTCATGAATATGCAAACTAGATTAACCCAGTTGGCCTGTATGCCACTATGGAAGTTAAAATACATGTTCTCTCAAAGCTGGAAAAAAATAGAGATATTTCTCTCCTAATGGTTCTATGTAAATTGATGTGAATAACAATAGCCTTTCCCCTGGGGATTCAATGAGACGTAATTTTCATTTGATAAAATGAACATTAATTTGGGGAATACTAAATAACAGAGTCTCCATTTTTTCCTCCAGTTTTAGAGATATAAATCTAATGATTCCCCATTTCATGCTGACCTTATAATCTAATGTGCTCTGAATTGAACAAGAGAGATGTTGAACTATTCAGGGGCAAAAAGATAATTCAGTCTTTGACCTTGCTCACTCTTGGACCTTCTGTGGTCTTTACGACATTTGTGATGGTGGCAAAAATTGAAGACTATATATTTGAGTCAGAAATGTCTGAATATACTACCAATTTTAAAAATTATTTTTACTTTTGAAAAGGATACTTTATATATACACACATATATATAAATACACACACACACACACACACACATATATGTGTGTATCCTGATGCTTCCTTGTCTTTGTCATTAAATTTGGGACACAAGAAAGTTTTTTGTCTGCTTTCTCTCTTACTTGTTCAAAGAACTTTAAAGATATGATGTGCGTCTCAGTGGATAACAACAGTCAGGCTCTACAAGTTATTAGGCAATAGTTTGAAAAGAGGCAATTGACTAGCGCTGTCTTCAAATCCTCAAGTTAGCATCCATTTAGGAATTTTGTCGATGTAGAGGGGTGATTTTAAATCACTGGTAACTGTCTGTGTTAAGGCAAGAACATTTTCTGACATGGTACAAATGAGCCTGTTACTTATAAGATACACGGTTGGTTTCAGAACACTTTTTCTAAATAAGTCTAACGAGACAAATTTATATTTGACCAACTTAGCTCTATTTTTTAGATATTTTTAATGATCTGAACATAAAGCTAAACTCCCATTGTTTCAGCAAAATATGTTAAATTATAATATTCCATCATTAGACATGAGCACAGGAAAGAAAGAGTCTATAGTGTTTTAAGTAGCCATCAATCTTACTACGGTTACAAAGAATTTTTCCCTTTCAAAATGTAAAATTTTTCTTTTGTTACAACACATTCATTGAGAAACATTGTGATACTGTATTAACTCTGTGTGAATAAAGAGCAATTGAGACTCTCTTTGAATGAGTGAGTATAAAGCACAAATTACTTTTTAATGAAACCCTCAATTCTTTCCCTTTCCACAAAAAGCCTATAGCCTTGTTCAGCTGAACACTACTACAGTAGGTCACTTCAGTTAAGCCCCTAATAAACTGTTGATGGTCGAGGGTAGTTTTTTCTTTGGTCTCAATAGCCCAGTGTTGGACAGTGCACTTCAAATCATTAAGGTTAATACAGATTTTAAAAAGAGATTAACTCTGGTGGTTAAGGCCTCCATTTACAACTCCCACACATACACATGCATTGAGCAAGGCACAAGAGTGGATTGAGATTTCAGTCAAATTGTGGGCATCTTTTCACAGCCTGAGAAAGTGGCACTGTGGTTTGAAAAGTTGGTCAGCTAAATTCTTCATAAGGGAAAAAGTTTGAGTCACTGAAAAATACTTCTCAGTACAACTTACTTACCTTTCAACTAACCAGTGAAAAGGTTAATGTCTCTCCGCACCATCAAAGCAAGACCTAGAGACTGGCCCTGCGTTCACTGGGGAAGATCTCTCTGCAGCTAGATCGAGTTTTCCTTAAAGTTCTACAAATTGTGAGGAAAGGCCAGTGGGGTGGGGTGTGGGAGGGCGGCGGTGGCGAAGAAATATTTTTTCTTTGGGTGGTAGGAAATAGTTTGTGTTATCATTTGTCTTTTTTAGCTTCTGATTATTCTTTTCCTTGAGCAGGGCCTAATTTCTGCCTCAACAGAACATTCCAAGTCTCCTATATTGAGTGAGGCTTTCTTTGCAGAGTATTTAGACCTGGCCTATTGGTTCTTTCAAGTTCTAAGAGGAGAAGGAGAAAAGAGTTCTCCTCCGCCCCTCCCCTTCATTTCATTTTCCCCTGGGTTCTCGCTCTCTTTCTGTGTGGTTTTTTTTTTTTTTTTTTTTTTTTTTTTTCTGAGCTCCTAAGGAAGAGGTCGTAGCTTCCCCAGGGAGACCAGCCACTCAGTTTCAGAAACAGCGATATGGGAGAACTGTGAAACCCTTCAAAAGATGTCCTACCTTTTCACTGTACTAAAAGGTACACTAATATAAAACTTCTCCACACCAGGTGAATTGATCTCTCAAATTAATGCACCGTCTCCTTCAGGAAACAATAGAGGGAGAGGAAGAGAAAAAGGGTGGGGGGAGAGAGAGGGAGAGAGAGAGAGACAGAGAGAGAGAGAGAATTTTACAATTAACAGAATGTGTCACTGAAATAGTCCCTTTAAATGAGCGTATCTTTTTCTAAAACAAGGCTATGCATAAAGACTTGCGACTTGCCAGCCCCGTAGTCTGGAAACCTACTAGTTATTAAGAGAGATGTTTACTACCCCTTTATTTGCATAGACTTTTCCCATGTTTTTCTTTTGGAAAACTGTCTTCATTGTTGGAAAATATTTAAGTAACAAAACAGCAGAAAAAGACATGCTACAGTTTTTTTATCAGCTTCCGTGAGAGTCTTATTATCTTAAGAAATAACAGTTAGCAGCTCAGATTCATTAGCAGAGCTAAATTTAAGCCCCATTTGACAGACTGCCTAGAAAACATTTTGTTTTGCTGTCTGTGGGCTTTAATTAAGATGTGTTCAATTTCAGTCCTCTTCAGTCTAGCTCCCGCCCCCCCCCAACCCCCACCCCCAACTTGCTGTGTCACAGACCGGCGATCAGACACTTTTAGATGGTCCGGCCCATGACTTTGACCTTCTGCGCAGTCCGGCGTTCCCTGGGGAACCGTTCAACTCATGAGGTCTGATTTCACACTTCCAGGATGCCTCAGCTCTCTTAACAATGACAGGGAGACAAAGCCCTTTAGAGCAGGCCGCATGGGGACTTGTTTAAATTGGAAACCAGAGAGGAGTCAAGGAACAAGGTTATGGGCTACAGAATAGTGCTTTTAATAAAGAGCTCACAGCTCTGGCTCAGCTCAAAGAGGTCTACCTCTGTACAATTAATTGAGCCATTTATCTGGAGCATCTTAGGCCTCTACTTTCTCACAGAATTGCGTGGTAAATATCAGCTAAGAAGCAAATGAGATATGCATGAAATGAATTTTAACACTTTGATTACTGTGCCTCCAGTCTTCATTAAAAGTAAATTTATTTGTATTTCTGACCTCATTATCAGGAGGCTGCCTGCATTTTTATTGGTTCCTGTGATTTCCAGCTTGAGTGTGTCATGAAGGTATATTTTATACAAAGATTTGGATTTATTATTCTTGATATTTTCCCTGAACATTACGGGTCTATTCAGAGAAAGAAAATGAAAAGGCAGCTGTACAGAAAAAGGCAAGTCTGATCTTT